GGGGGGGGGGTGAAGAACTGAAAAGTACCTCAAAAAGTTTCCCCCTTGATATGAGGAAGGACGCCACAAACCGCAAATCGATATCATAATTAGAACTAAAGTTATGGCCAGTGGTGCGTAACTTTTGAATAACCCTGTATATCATAGATGTGTTTTTACAATCGGACATACAACCTGTCAAGAGTGAACTACCAATCCATTTATTCGAGCAAGCGTAAAAACTCGTATATACATATAAGATACGCATGCGACTTAGGTGAAAGTTGGATTTTCTCAAAAACTAAAAGTCGTCTCAAAATTCGGGTCGTACGGTTTTCCGATCTTCGATAGTGTAAAAAAATCGTATCGGGTTGGGATGGATCGGAGGAGGAGAATTTTCCGAAAATATTTTCCAGCGTAGGACTTAGATAATGTTTTAATATCTCGAATCAGACCCTCCTCTCCAGTCACCGATACCAGTCCCATCCTGGAGGCTATGTTCCATTGATTCCGAAAATTTTACAGGTTTTCGATCCATCAAACTGAAATTGCAATATACAATCCCAGTTGCTTATTCCAAAACACAAGGTTCGGATACAAATCTCCAAGCGCACACTCAAGTCCGAAAATCCGAATATTTTGCACAATCTGAAAACAATGTAAGGAACAAAACCGCGTATACACATAAGATAGGTATGTATCATGGATGTGTTTTTTACCATCGGACATACAACCTGTCAAGAGTGAACTACCAACCCATTTATTCGAGCAAGCGTAAAAAACTCGTATATACACATAACTCCGGCAGTCCAACGCTCAAACCTGGATGTAACGAGTTCAGTTGTTACCTATTTCTTAATATTTCACCCTTCAATGTTTCGCTGAAAACACCGAAATTATATCAATCATTGATAATAAAAAAAAATTACCTTTGACAATACTGATGAGATGAGCAGACCGGTATGTTTTAGACGGAGGCAAAGAAAGTAGGCGTAGGATCCCTCTTCGTGTAAATTTTGAGTAGCCGTATCCTCCCTAAAAATTGAATTGCAAAATTTATTTTTGGACTGACAGAACATTACAAAACACTTACGAAACATTATTGTTGTCGGAATTTTTCGATCGCATAGTGGAGGGAGGGGGGTTGGCCCCAAATTTTCGGGAGCCGTATTCCCCTTAAAAATTGAGTTACAAAATTGGGGGGGGGGGGGTTGGTGAAATGGACCTCCGAGCCTCTGTCCTGCTATCCTTCTATCTCGAACTTCATTCGGACTCGCTTATGAACTCATTTTTTACAAAAGTAAACCTGAATTTGCGACCCGACACCAAAAAAAATATTCTTAAACATTACTCACTCAAATCCAATGCACCCACGGGGAAAGACCAAGTGACCTGCGGCATCTTCGAACTGTTGGGTTCCACTTCTCCAACTTTACAGTACACTCTCTTAAACAGAAATGCTTTTTAAGTTTAATTTCCAGGGCATGTCCGTGCATTTTCTTTTTCTAAAACAAAAATGGGGAAAAAAATAGATAGCCACTTAATTCCGTGAAGATCAACATCAGAAAAAAATATAAAAACAAGCAGTGAACTCCAACACAATGTGTTGATAAGGCGCGTCATTAACTCGCACATATCAACCCCTTTAGTCTTCATTTACAGAGATTTCAAAATAGGCAAGCAGCACAACAAGAGAATTCACGATCCAACACTGCGAGATGGTCTAATGAGCATCGAGGCTCATCACAGACTGCACTTATGGCTGTCCTCGCTGGCCCTGGCTATCAGAGCAGATGTACCAAATTTTGAAAAGCATAACAGGGGTGTGGAGATCTGTCAAAGCAACATTTTAAACAAAACGAAGGAGTAAATTCCGTCTGCGCGGCATTAAATTCCTGTCCGAGTATAGTTTCAAAGTTTACACCGATGTATTTGATGCTAGGACGTGAGTTCTTGCTACCACAAGCAATACGTGAGCCACCAGAATTAAATTATGAGCGTGAAGATTATGTACAACAGGTAAAACACCGAATGAGAGCAGCGCGCCAAGTTGCTCGAACTCATGTCATTAAACGAAAGAAAGCAAATCTACGTTATAGAAACAAAAAAAGGACAATGCCAACTTTTGAAATTGGTGATAAGGGTCTAGTGTTAGACCCATAATTAAGGCGAGGCAAGTCTAAGTTAGATGCACCCTGGTCAGGCCCATGCATTGCCAACGGCAAAGCGTCTAAAGTAGCATACTTCGTAAAAAGACAACAACACGGAGAAGAGAGTATGCATCGAACGGCTGAAGTTATTCCGAGAGATATTGGAAAAAATGTAAGTGAATTTCTGTAACCAAGGACATTTAAAATGTAATCGAGTGTTGTATTATTGTTAATAAATCGGGAAAAGCAGTCAAACATGAAACGAAAATTGCCAGCTTAAGAATTGAGGGCAATTAACAAACCTAGTTTAGACGAAATACCATTTGGGACCCAACACCAAAAACAAATATTCTTAAACAAACATTTCATTGAAGGAACTTTGACAACTCTCGAATGTTCATACGGTTTTTTTCCTTAGGAGGGCAGAGGAAAGGGTTGCAAAATTCAATCACATATGACGATTTAACAGTTGTGATGACTACAACCGGAGTCGGATCATTTTATTCACAAAATTACAAAGGTTATAATTTTTTAAAAAAAAAGACTAGTTATATTTTATTTTATGATACATATAATTCTAAAATGAGATACTTGGTGGAATCTAGGTTATAGAATGGAAATCGAAAATACATGTATGATGAGCCAACCAGCGTGAAGTTGAGTTATTTTGTGTATTGTTTATTGTTTATAGATTCGCCCGTATGAGGGCTTGGCCTTAGTGCCTCGTAATATCAGTGACAGTCATAAAGCGAATCCCCCTACCCCCCCTGCCTAAATTCCGCAGATTCCTATATGTTCGTTTGTTGGGGCACGTTTCAACTTTCGAGATATCGAAAAAAATTAAATATTTTCATGAAATTTTTCAGTTTTTGTATCCAAATACATTTTTTAAAAATTTGGTTTACCTTCCCAAATAGCCCCCTGTATAAGGTTATTTGATACCAGCTCATAACATATGGCTTTAGTGCTATTTCCCAAATTACCCCCATCAAGGGGCAATTTGGGAAACATCTTTCAAAATTTTTTACCCCCCCCCCCCCCCCCCCCAAAAAAAGGGGAGGTAAAATAAGTCAACCATAATTTCTTATGCTTTGGGGTCAGAACTTTCCAAAATGTCCTATTGTTTTGAAATTAGTGGGAGATTTCTAGTTAAAAATTCTAAAAAACTGCAAAAAATTTCCCAAATAGCCCCGATTGACGGTATAGGTTTTTACCTTGAGTTTCTTTTTTTATTCAACTCAAATGTTACATACCAATTCCATTATTATGGACGTCTTTTCTTTTAATTTCAAAATAGAATACTTATTGATATTTCGATTTGTCGAAACTAAAAAGTTAAGTGAAATGAAATCGTGCTAAGCATCGTTAAGAAATCTTTTCCCCTGGGTTTTCACTTTGTCTTTGATTTGCTCCAGTAATTTTCCGTCCTCCGGACATCATCGTTCAATCGAAACTAGAATAAAACATAAAAGATCGACTTTTAAAAGTTAAATTTCATTAAAATAGACCAACAAAGGAAATTAGAAATATATATAAAAATAAAATGCTGAGGATGAAATACCTATTCAATTTTCCATTTAATATTAGAATATTGCTGAGATGTTAATAAACGAAATATCTCTTGAAACAGTTTTTTACTCTTTGGATGAAGAATGAATTGCAAAATTCTTTTTCAAGAATAAAAACGACGAGCTGAATAAATGAATTTTAAAGATGTTTTACACACAGAAAAAAAGATCTTCATAAGTAAGATGTTTTTCTAAAATTTACACAGTTAAAAATGATGGAAGCACGGGGTGAACACGGGTGACCGGGGTTACCCGGGGTGAACCGGGAACCATTGTCCGCGGGTTGCAAGAACAACCACACTGTCGGGCACTTT